ATTTTAGATTGACGACTTAGGGTGTTAAGTTATATTTAATTTGCTCTGAAAATATTCAGCTGAATGTATCCTCTATTGGAAAATCCGTTATGTCCTTCTGTATTTGAACAGATCCGTACTGTATTCCGGGATATGTTTGTATGATGTCATTTAAAATGAGTTCCTTCTCCCAAAGAGTAAGTCAGGTCGTGTTCCAAATCAGAACACTTCAAGGTCTTTCAGGTTGTTGTCAGCTGTGTATTAACTTTTGACGTTGAATTGTCAATACATTTGTGAAGTTTGATAGGAATATAACCTTTTTGATTACATGCTTATTATTTCAATAATAAGTTTGTCATAGCTTCTTTCCTGACAACGTTTCCTGTTTGTTTCAATGCTCCATTGGTTTACATCTTCAGGCCCTTGCCCACCAGCATTTCTTCTTATAAGGTATCATTTTAACTTGTCATAAATTTTGATATTTTAAGTACCTTGCTGATGACATCATATTGTTGTCGGAAGTCATTCTATTTTTCTGGATAACTATCATCTCTCATATTTTGCATATTTCTAATTATGTGACCTTGCTATGAGCTCATCTCTCAAATTCCTGAAAATGTGAAGGGGTCTTCGGATGAGTTCAGTGATGCCAATATCCAACTTGTACTAGCTGTTGTTAAGAAGCTTCAGGAAAAGATGGAAACTAGAGCTTGTGTGGTGAGAAGAAACTTTGTCATTCTTTCTTTGTACAAGCTATGATTCACTGATATGCACAGAAGCAAATCTGACAAGATCCCTCAATTTGTAGGTGTTTCCTGACAAACCAGAAAAGCGTAGGGCCAGCGATCTTTTCAAAGCAGCTCTTGACTCGGTACTGTTAACTCATTGTAGATTTCAATTTTCATTTCTGATGCTGTGAACCATAACATTTTGTTCTAGTAGGGAATGCCTTCTGTGTAAGTCGGGTGCTCTCATCAGTTGGTTTGTCTTATCTAAACCTCTCCTTGAAATTAGAGATGAATGATTAACTTTGAAAAAACATTTTAGATGTTCATGATATAGTTCGATTCATCTTCTTTTTCTTTTTGCATTTTGGAGTTGCGTTCTTCCTGTCGTTTCCTCATTCTCGCAAAAATCTCATTGAAATTATCATGCTTTCACTCTTTCAGATAGATGGCATTACCATTGGATCCTTGGATGATATTCCTGGGGGCGCTGTGACCTCATTCTTCAGATCTATAAGGAATACACTGGACTTCGATTTTGAGGATGAGAATGAAGGTTAATTTCACAATCTAACTGTTCTTATGTTTCCAACTCCTTCATCAACTTAGCCACTGTTGCACAATAACCTAGTTCTCTTAAGCTGTGACAATAAATAGATCCATTTTGGTTTCCACATAAGCTTCCTTTCTTGTTCTTTTCCGGGAGAGGAGAGGGGAAGGGTGATGCAACATTCTTAGAATCTTGTCAAGTGTTTTAAGGATTTTAAGTCATTATGATACAAATTAGAAAGTCTACAAATGCTAGGTTACTGTGTTGCATTTAACTTCAAAAGAACTCAAGAACATCAACAGATTAACATGAGTACATGCGTCTTGCACTGATGCTACCTAATCCTGTCTCAAAATCAGCTGGACCCTTTCTCCTTTAGCATTTGCAGTATTTCCCAACCAGTTTGTTTTAGTCATTGAAAGTATTCATGTAGGAAATCTTCTTTGGATAAAGTTATGCAGGTATTATGTAGGAAGAAAACAAAAATCTTAACCAAACATTATATATGCTATGCTAAGTTTTATACGGAGATTAAGTCTCTTTAAAACATCAACCAAACAATGTAATAAATTATGCAGAATTTTATACATGGTTAGATTACTCCCGAGACACCAACCAAACGGGCCATTAGGATTAAAGTGGATCTAGCTGTTTTTTCTTTTTTACATCCATTGTAATTTTTTTGAAGCTTTTAAAGCAATTGATGGTTCCTTTCTCTTGTTTCATTAACACCTAGACCATTTACAAGGGCATAGTTACTCAAAGCTCAAAGGAATAGCTTGGTTCCGGGTTATTGCAATGGTCATCAATTTTTTACCTATGCTATGTGTACTAAACCTATAAAGCTTCATGCATCTTTATTGTTTCAGGTCGTTGGAAGTCTGACCAGCCTCCTACACTATATATATTTATCAACTGCAGCACTCGTGACCTTTCGTACATTGAGAAGTATGTGGTAAGATCTGTTGGTATTAGAAAGTCATGTTATCTAATTTTCACTTCCAAATTTGCAAGAAATTGTCTCCAATAAAAATCAAACTTACTAGTGTACCAATGTGTGATCATCCTTATTTCAAATGTATCATTTGTTCTGGGACATGTTTCCTTTCCTCTTACGCGTAGTCTACCTTAAAGTTGCTTTGAACACCCTTTTAGTGTTCATTTTTATTTGTTTATTCCACTGTACTTTTAAATAAATGTTTCTTCTCTGTATTTATTCAAGGGTTGATGATATTGACATCCATTGCATTGACAATGTACAGGGTAAATTTGCTACGTCAACCCCGAGTCTCCTTTTCAATCTCGAACTTGACACCTTGCGGTAATAAATAGTGTTCCCCGTCTTTGATGGATATTTTTCTGATTAATATATGTTATGGTTAGTTCCTCGATGATATTCTGATTAACAATAAATTTATTCAAAATTGCAGTGCTGACCTGGGTATTATAGGCTTTCCACCAAGGGAATTGCATTATCAATTTCTTTCTCAATTCACCCCCGTCTTTTATATTCGAACAAGAGAGTACTCAAAGGTGACAATTTTGTGATCTTGGTTTTATGTTCATCTATCTTATATCGACCTTGTAAGTTTGTAATGCATATTTTTTTCTCATGGAAGACAGTTGCAGTGGAACCTTATATAGTGAACTACAATGGAGCTCTCTTCCGTCAATATCCTGGTAAGTTTTCATTCTTGTGGTTATACGCTTATTTAGGGATTCTGTTACTTCTGTTTTATTATTTCCCTATATTTATGGACTTCCTCTTCTTGTTTTTCAATTGAATTTCCTTCTTTCTGATATCAAAATATGAGTGCAGATTATTTTCTTGGTGTTCACTCCAGTAGAACAATAGTTGAACAGAAATTTGAGGATAGAGTATACTAGTTGTTTAAGTATATTGAATATATGTGACTTGTAAATATTTCTGACCCTTCTAAGGTTACTATATGCCAAGTCTATATTACGAGTGTAAAATAAATCTGATCCTAGGAACTGTTTTCTCACTTGAAAATGAGGTGAGAGAAGAAAATGTAAATTAGGACGACATACTGTCAAATTAATTTTTTGCTTGTTATAGTTATTCGTGGAACTCCACAATATTAAGAATAACTTCCCTTTTAAGAAAACTTAAATGCTCTAAATGAAACTGAAGTATTTGAAACTAGATATTTAACATCATGTAAGAGTAATAGATGTAACATTTTTTTGTTTCATTAGAAGTGTCTATGTCGTTTCTGATATTCAGGCTTCAGCACAGGTACTTTTGTAAGATTGTGTATGCACTAATATGGAATACCGACAACCTTTAGCTTTGTTTTAATATTGCAGGGCCTTGGCAGGTGATGCTGAAACAGACAGATGGTTCTTTTGTTTGTGTGGCAGAAAGTGCAACTCGCTTCACTCTTAACGAAGTAACTATACATCTGATTCATGCAACTTGTTCTTCTTAATAACTTTTATGGTAAATAAGCTGCCCAAAACATGTTATGGCAGACCAAGGAAGAACTATTGAGAGTCCTCGGACTGCAAGAAGAGAAAGGAAGCTCACTTGAATTTCTCAGAAGAGGATACAAGGTCTCTTTATAGTAATTTTGAAGTTACATAGTGTTTGTGTTTTTCCCATCAACAACTACAGTTTCTTTCATCGAACTAATCTCTTCTCATTGCTTATCCTATGAAGATTAGTAAAATACGCAATAGATTTGAGAATATGTTTGACTGATGCTTAAATGCCTTGCTGTAGACTGCAACCTGGTGGGAGGAAGATGTTGATTTAGAAGCATCCTCTGCATGGCGTAGTTGAACAGAAAATTGCCACAGAAGAAGAGGATGGCGGGTGGGGTGGAGATTTATAACACACTCAGGTGGTGGAGGAACAAGCTACTAAATTACCAAATTTGTTGATCCAGCATTTCCGTCGTAAAAATGCTCTTTGAATTTATTCTACTTTATAGTAACTTGTACTTCAACTAGAAAGAAGGTTGTCTTAAAGAAATGACAAGTCCTTTAAAGTTTGTTGGGGCGTCCCAAGCTATGAAAGAAAGAATTTGTGTTACACTTTATTCTCTTTTAGCTCTCTCATTGTTTAATTCTGTCTCTTCCAAAAGTGTAAAGGTTTTCCAGGGCAAAAAGAGCCTCCATTCTCTTTGTTTCGTTAATTGTTCAACTCATTTGCACTTCTATCCCTATTTTGTGTAGTCTAATTTTTTATTCATCAAAATAAACAACTTTTTTGTAAGGCATAAGTATATTTTCGTATCATAAAATTTCATAATTTATTAAAAAATATATGCCCCACTAAATATAAGTTTGATTAGTAAAGGACAAAAATTAAAGTCATAATACATAAACATGACCCTTAACTTGGCGTGAGTTGGCAACTATGACCTTTAACTTTGGATGTGCACAAGTAAATACTTAAACTTGTATAAAATTGAACAAATGGACACAATCGTCCTACATGGCACCCTACATGGCATCCTATGTGTCTTATGCCATGTAAGACACGTGTGTCTACTTGTGCACACTCTCAAAGTTGGAGGGCATAGTTGTCCGTTGAAGCCAAGTTAAGGGTCATGTTTACGTATTATGCCAAAATTAAAGGTGCAATTTTATGCATGTATGTACATGTCAATTTCTGTTTCCAAGGTGGTGTAATTTCTAGCAAGCCCAACAATATGGTATCAACAGATCGGCCCAAACTTATCAAAATATGCTGCTCCTGCGGACAACATAGACACGTTAGTGTTGTCGTCGAAAGGGATTTTCAGCCCCTTGAGGTTAAAGACACAAATAAAGGAATACTGAGACAGAAAGCGGAACAAAGAGAAATGGGATTATGGGCATGTTTAGCAGTGATATCACCATTTCCATTTTACTACTATCTCTGGACACATCCTCAAAAATGGGTCGATCTCTGTGGAAGTGGACGTGACCCTTGCAAAGTTATGGCTATCGTCTCTCATTTTATAAAGTTGATCCAATTCATCTCACTCTTATCGGTTTCCACATTTTCATGGCCTCCTCCGCTTTATTTTTGGCCCCTTTTCATCTTTGGTCAGTTCCTTAATTTCAGGTCAGACCTCAAGCTTCAAATTTGATCTTCTTTCCTCTTTACTATGTTTTATGGTCATTCGACAATGTAAAGATTGTGTCAATTTGTTAATTTTATGAACATATACCTTGGGATATTGTTGTTTGGTAGAAATTAGATTCTTGAATTTACTAGAATGAAAAATGGCATTTTTAGGATTGGAGTGAAATTGGCATAAATAAAACTGAATATATACAAAGGATTTGATTGTTCCCAAGGCTTTGGCTCAACGAGAAAGATAGTATAGAGCGGGATGTCTCGCAAGCTCACGTGTTGGAATCTTGATGCAGTGGAGAAATGATAGAGGGGTGGACCCATTCTCCATAGAGTTTGAGTTAAATGTAAAAGATTGATATTGCTGACACTAACTAATTTGAAATCGACATGTAATTTGTCGATGAGCTGATTGAAAAATTGGATATCTAGGTTCATGTTAATCCTTGGTAATTTTTAATGCGTGGAGGAAAGGGATGGCGTAGCGTTCCTGCTTGTCATCAATTCACTAGGAGCCAGTTAAATCATTATTTACTGAAGGAAAGCATCTTTGATGGAAGTTCCTCCTGCACTATGGAATCATGCTATCCTCCGATAGACTAGTTTAGATGTTGTCATGGAGATTCAATGCACGCAAATAACAAAGTTGTCATATTGACAATTTGATGAAAAACTAGTGCATAGTTGTGCGAGCAGATCTAGGCAGGGGCAGAGGTAGAAGTCCAGATATGGGTTGTCTCAACTCAAAATTTTTTGCTCAAATGGTGTAGTTATATTAGTAATTCCTTAAATATGTACACACTAAATTTAGGACCAATTATTAGCTATCCAGAACCCATAAAGTTGAAATCTTGGCTGTGGTCTCTGCCTTGAGGGTTAGAGGTTTCAGCTGGAGGATTTCATTTGAACCAATAATCATTGCTTTTATATTTAACGTGTTAAATGGATAGCATGTACATAATGGTGATCACAGGTCCAATATGGACTACCCTATAGTATCTTCCAAAAGTTAATCAGCTGATGTGATCGGGCTGAACTGGAATGATGAAATTTGAAAAAGTTAAGCAATCTGAGATTGCACTGGCTCATCAATCCTCTGAACTGATTCCACAAACCACTTCTCCTCTATAATATGAGTGTTTCTGATCTGGCTGAGAAATGTATATAAACCTCTAAAACCCCCACATAAACAGCACACAGGAATCGTTATCTGCTTGGAATGGGCTATATAGCTTTAGATGCTCTGCCTGCAATTTCAAACAAACGCACTGAAGTAGTGATTCAATGATGCAAACTTTGACGAATCGACCAGTTTATTAATTAATGTCTCTAGAGATATGGGGGAGAATTAATTGATTTGGGCCCATCATTGGGTTACTGATCTTTACCTCCCACCTCAGTACTTTAATGGTCAATTTGTACTCAACTAGACTTTGTTCCAAAAGACTAAAAATCAAGGATAATTTGGTGAAGTCTGGTTGGGATGGGATAGAGAGTAAATATAGATATTTAGCTCTGATTAGAGTTCCGACCAATTGCACCCAAGGGTATGGCCTAGTGATCAATGAAGTGGTTGAGAACCATGAGATCTCTGTTTGAATTCCCTGCGGAAACAAAAAAACACTAGGTGATTCTTTCCATCTGTCCTAGCCACGGTCATCAAAAAAAAAAAAAAAAGACTTCCACCAATCTTACTAAATAATACAGGTTTCCTCTATGAGTTTAAGTTCTGTACTATGAGGTAGTGAACCTCATAATCATTACTCTTCTATAGCCACTTGACCAAAAATATTTACAATCGTTAGCCAAATACGTATATTATACATTAATTCTACACATATGTACATCTGTCGGCTACTTTTTTTTGGTCAGGGGGTATTTAAGTTAGCTTCCCTGTTTAATACATAGATTATTTCTTCTCATAGAAGAGTAATGATTTTGAGGTTCACTGACTAACTTAAAACGTAGTTATTAACTATAGGTTTCTTTGGATCATACATTCATATACTTTGTACAAGCATTAATCTAAAGATTATTTCCACATTCCAACGCAATAGAATTTGGAAGGCTTAAAATAGTAAAATGCCTACGGAAAGATAATTGGAGTCATTTGTCAAAAAGGAAAAAGTTTATTAGAATCACATCTTATTAGGTGTTTTTTCAATACCTTAAGTTGAGTTTAGTTCAGAAACATAGTAGCAACAGAGATTAACCTGATTAAGATCCCCATTGATAACAATTATCGGATAGAGGCTCGCCATTTCAATGACAACTTTCAAATAAGAGATCTGGCATGGCACCAGCATTCGCTTTAGACTTCTGTATGGCACCAGCAGTCACTTTAGATACTCAACTGACTATTTATTACTTCGTTGTTTTGGATATCATGATTCATATATTGAATGAAGCTATGTCTTGGTTCCATCTTACCAAGAGTGACTGCTATGTTAGACGTGCACTCCTATCGCTTGTCCATGTTTTACATTTAGTTCTTTACTCTAGCGGGGCTCGTGGGTGTAATAATTTACAAAACTGCAGGGTGTATCAACTGTTGGGAGAAGCTGGCACTTACTATGGTGTCCGCTTTGGGAAGAATATCCCTTGGGCAACAGAGTTTCCTTTTGGAGTAATAAGAGATCCTCAGTATGTCGGCAGCATTTTGAGTTTGCTAGCTTGCCTCTCTTGGGTTCCTTTCTTGTATATTTTCTTATGGGTATTGGGATATGCATTTATAATACAAGTTGAATCCATGGAAGATCCAGCTACTCGTGCAAACCCGCTTTCTTGAGTCTATAGAAGATACATCTGCCAACTTCAAGGAACTAGTACTGCTTGCTTCTGCATTCTGGAGAAGGAATCCTTTTGATAAAGTTCTTTGTATCAATGGTTTCTTGAGTTCTCGAGTCCTTTTTTAAAATCAGACTCAGCAATATTTTGGACGATTCTGTAAGTTTTTTTTTTTTTTTTAAGAAGCCAGCATAACTTTAGATCCCTATGTCTTTTTTGAATTAAAAAATCCAGGCAATAAAGAGCAATTTTTTTTTGTGTGAATGGTTCTTGAGAACACTGTATGTCTATTTTGACACAGCAAAACTGAATGATTTATCAGCTGTTAATGCAAAATTTTCGAAGTAGTAACCTTCGGGTATGATGTGGAGGTAAAAAAAAATGCAGATATGATGTGATTTATGATTGAAGAGAAAATAAAAGGCAATTTGAATGGTCAATTGCTTGAGTTTCTGTCTGGCCATAGATTTTGAAGTTGAAATTTGAAACTCGAAAATTTGAGTAAGTTAGGTTTGGACATGCATTTTACATGATTTTTTTTTTTGAAGTTTTGTGAGTGGAAGTCCAAGAACCCAAAAACTGACAATATTTGAAGAATCAAATTTCATGGCCAAATAGATATTTGCAGGTAGATTGTCAAAATTTGCTTCTAAAACATAGGGCCAAACACTAGCTAAAAGTCAGCATTTACCGGAAAAAGTAAGAGAAAAATAGAAAGGAAGAATAGTGTTTAAGTAGCTTGAGGACTTAAACATGATTTTGATTTCTTGCCCTTGTTGAGATTTCTTTATCAGTGGTGCAGATAATCAACAAGGTTGGGTCCTTAGACAAACACATGTTAAGACATTGAAGCAATAAGTAGAAGACTTTTAGTTGGAGTGTTGGACCAACTAAGCTGTACTCTTTTATGCTAGTGGATGGAATCACAAAAGACCATCTCATCAGTTGCTTTCAGATAATGATTGTTTTTACCTTAGTTGCTCGGACTCTCCAAAAATGTTGCCGCATCTTTTGAAGGATCCAACACAGGCCTGATGACATTTTTGAAGAGTCCGAGCAACATAGGTTTTTACTATAGCAGATTACTTTATAATTGTTTTAATTCTTGCATGTAGCTTAAATTTGATGCCACAAAAGAGTTGCATAAAGTCAGTGAACAGAACAATAAGTTGTATATTTCATAATCTCATTTCAGTATTCTACAAAGTTGTCAAATTCAACAACTTAAATGTTTCAAGGACAATTCAGTCTCAATCTAGCCAACTCAGAGCAAGTCCATTCTGCAGGGGACCCAATATGGCTGCTGTTGAAAATTTCTCACAGTCCAGCAAGATCCCATTCTCACGTGCACTTCCAAGTCCAACTTTGCGGTCCAAATATTACTAACTTTTCCTGTATTTGCATTTGGACAATAATTTGTGTTTCCTTTTTCCTCCTAAGAACTTTTCATATGAGTCAAGTTGGAAAATATTGAACAATTGTCTATACAAAGTAGTTGACTGCTCTACTGGACTTTTGTTTACCATCTCCCTGTCTGATTATTATGTTGGAGGATTTTTCCTGATATGGCGGCTGCAAGTGCTGCTTTGAAACTTGGATCTTTGGTCAATGAAGTAGCCATTTGCTCTATCAAGAACTGTTGAAACTCTGGCCTATTTTGATATTCACCTCCTGTTGTTGTTGTTGTTCTAATGCTATTGGCACCAATAGGACTAGTAGTACTGTGATTCATCTTCATATCGCGTTTTTCTATTGTTTTCGGTGCAGTAAGATCGAGAGTAATGGTTGGTCCTGAGGAATTGAGAGTTGTAGAACAAGGTACTGAAGTAGTAGTACCGGCGATAGTTGTCACATTTAATCGGCTGGCAGTGGAAGTATTAGTACTTGCACCTAATTCTGGTTTTGAGGTTTGTGGATGGTTATGTTCTCCTTCATATGTTGCTACCACAATAGACTGATCTTCTATGCTTCTCTGAACCTGTCAAAAATGCCAAATGCACTATTAGAATATGCGCGCAAACTGACTTGAACACGAACATGGCAAATTCATTCTTTTCTATGATTGTCAACACTCATAAATTAGGGTTTTAATTTACCTTCTTCTTGACAGGGCAACCAGGTGCAAATGAGCATCTGAAGTAAGCTCTTGGACAAGGGTTGTCTCTGGTTACTTTCTGACCATACTTTCTCCACTGATAACCATCCTTTACAATCTGCAAATAAGTTCACAGACATAATTAGTCATATGCTCTCACTAACAGCTTAAACTTTTACCTGAGATACAAATAACTCTAAAGTGTCATTCTCATAAGAGTGTGTACTTACAAGAGAGGTATCAGATGCATCAGTCTTCATAGAAACAATTGTAACTTTCGCTTTAATGTGCTCCTCTCTGAGTTTCTTGCAACAAGACTCTTCATCACTTGAGCTGCTTTCTGATGAACGTCCATGAACAACATCCATATTGTTATTATTATTGTTAACAGGATTAGAGATATTGGAGATACTTTCAGCTTTTCTTTTCCTTGACCCTGCACTACTATCTTCTGCTACACCATTTTGTGTGCTCATATACTCCATCATTTGGTTTCTTAAAGCATTGTAATTTTCACAAACTACAGTGAGCATCTCTGTTAACTTCTTGTTTTCACTGCTCACTCTGTTTAGTTCCTCTAACAAATCCCCTGCCTCATTTTTCACCCCCATATTCTCTCTTTCTCTGCTCAATCCAGTGAAATCACTCTGCACTTCTTGTTTCTGAAACCAAAAAAGAAACAAACATCAATACCAACAACATACAACAAGTGAAATCCCACTAATCTACGCAGACCTTATCACTATCTCATGTTTCCGAAAAACATCAATACTAAGCATATAAATAATACATTTGGGAATGAGAAATATAGTCCAAAAATCTTACCGGAACTTTTTCAAGAACAGGACGAAGCCTAAAGCTCAAATCCAATGAAGTATCAACCAAACTGGTAAATTCCATAGATATTAATTTCTTCTTTGATGTATGAAAATTCCAAGAATCAACAAAGTTGTAGTCTTTCTTCAGGTGTGTTGAGTTAAGAAACAAACACTTTTTTTTTCTCCACAAAATCTGATGATGGTATAGAAATGAAGATAAAAGGTATATAAATACCAAGGGCTTTAGAAGACCAGCTGACCAAGTTGTAGGAAGGTGGGAAGAAAATCAAGAAAAGGGATAAATATTAAATTGATGCAAATTGAGAGATAGAAATATCCTTCCTTTTTTTTTTTCTTCTTATTAATTATTATCCACAGCTTACTTATAGTTGTCAAATTTGTACCTAAGCAAACACAAGTGGTGGGTACAGTAACACATGTATAATTATATATATCTTCGGTCTTCACTGTTCCAATTTGTATGACTTACTTTTTTTTTAGTCAATCCCAAAACAAAACGATACATTTCCATTTTTAATGAAATAATTTATAACCACATTTATTTTAGACCATAAACTTTAAAAGTTTTATTTTTTTTAATTTCGTGTCAAGTCAAATTATATCGAATTAAAACGGGAAGGAGTAGTGTATAGCTTTTCATGTCGGCCCATCATATTTTGAATTTTTCCTCTCTAGTCAAAGTCAAGACAACCATTAGGAAAGTAGAAAGAAGGATGTATATTTTATATGGATAAAATAAAATAAAAGAAAAATTAAAAGGTGTTTAATATATTTATACAGTATTAATATTAATATTAATATATAGGTTGAATTTTGAGTCTTGTTTTGACCAATCCTCTAACCTACTCACTCATATAACATCATTTGGCACGTCATCACTAACTTTATGTGCAAAATTAAAATAAAGGAGGGAGTAATTTTTTTTTATTTGATATATAAGTTCTTTGTTTTTTACAAACATTTTCAACGTTCACTCTATTTTTTTTTTTATTGCTGTCCCCTGCGAGGTCTGGATTTGTAAAGAGTAGAATATTTAAATATTTTGGGTGTTGAAGAAAAAGTACTTTCTAAAATGACTTTTTCGATGGAATAAAAAAATAAGTGATATTTTAGATTAATTATCTATGTCTCACCCTTTAACACAAACCACCTAACCCCATCCCTGCCGGCCATTAGTTTTATCCTCACCCATCTCTCATTATATATCCTATATTATATATAAATATATTTGAAATAATATTTTTTATTTATTTATTAAAAATATAAAACAAAATTATTTATATTTGAGAAAAATATTTTTAATGGTACCAAACACACCCTATAGTTAATAAAGTGCATAAAAAATAGGCACACGCAGTTCACCAATTTAGCTGTCCAATACGCGTTCTCTATGTGTATGCCACGATAGATTAGGATGAGAGGATAGTCTTATTTTCTATTGGACAGAAATTAATGCTATTAGATATATAAATAAATAAATAAGTCTAATACTTCCTTCATTTTATTTTATTTGGTTCTCATATTTAGAATTGATTATGTTTTACCTGTTCATTTTAATAAATGAAGAGAAATTTTTTACTCCCTCAGTTCCTCTGTTCTTATTTATATGTTATCATTTTAAATTTTACGTAAGTTTATCATTATATCCTTATTTAGGGAGTATTTTTTTTGAAGTCAAGTTTCAATAAATGAACTGAAATTAATTTATTAAATTGATCAATGAACATGAATTAATTATTTAGTAGTTTCCTATGTTGGTCAAATTCATATTTTCAAGGCTAATAACTCTCAAAGGTAAAATAGGAAGAATAGTGTCATTTATGCATTGATTTTGTGAAATGAGAAATTTTAATGATCATCTATTTTTAGAAAGGATGACATATAAATATACTACATTCGTCCACTTTTAATTGTCATAGTCTCTTTTTTTTAGAGTCAAACTATAATAACTTTGACTAACATTTTACGATGTATTTTTTTCATCGTATTGATATGCGAAAAAATTGAATTTATAGTATTTTTCATAAAGTTTTTGAATATCTAAATTTTTTGTTTAAATTATCAAATTAATGTAATTTAATTTAACTTTGAAAATTAGTCAAATTGACTTTCGAAAAGCGCACATGACAATTAAAAGTGGACAAAGAGAGTATATGACAACTAAAAAGAATCGAAGGGAATAATATTTTTTTAATAATATCCTTGTTATTAAATGACTACATAAAGTGATAGTAATCAAATTTATATTTTCAAAACATAATTAATAAAATTATTTAAGTAAGATAAATCATTTCGTAAAGAAAGTATCAAGTCAACATAAGCCAACGGAGAAAGTACTTAATTCTAACATGATTTGGACAAAGTTATGAATTAGCCAAATCAAGGCATCTTGCAACTAGGTCATTGGAAAAGCTGTGGCTAGTTGAAATTTTCATAACTTCATTTTTCTAGAAAATGAAAAATTTAGACTGCATTAAAATGATAGCGTTGACTAATACAAAATATTTGAGATTCAACTCATTAAGAAAATGACTCTAAAATTTGTCAATGTGTTTCACATGACAAAGTCTTCTAATTTTTTAATAATTTTTTTTAATTCATCCAGTCAGTCAAGTATGGACGATTCAACGAAGAAAAAATAAAGTATGAAGAAATTAACTTGGTCTCTATGCTAAACAAATATGAAAATTAATAAATACGTGTCAAAGTTGGCTGCCGGCCCACTTCAATTAGCTCTTTATTGAAAGACAAATAGAAATATATTTTACTACTATAATTTAACATTCTTTATAAATGTTGTAAGATTTTATCGACTTCGAATGTAATGATATTAATTTATTTATCGTTAAATATTTTGCGATAATAAATATTACTATTAAAAGAAAAATTTATTGGCCACTAAATATCTTTTTTGTGGTAGTGAGTACGACATTTAGATATTTTTGTTTTAGTTTAATTATTTTTTATTAGCATTATCATATATATGTCAATTGACCAAATCCGCATCATATCATAAAAAAAAAATATACTCTGATTAATTATTCAAAGTTTACAATTATTAGCTTCTACATAATGTCTTGTTATTTTGATTCAACTTTTTAACTAGAAATATCAAATTCAACCCCCTATAAATAAAAAGATTCTTATAGGAAATTGGAATTCAAATTTAATCGAATTATGAATCTGGAATGAAAAATCCAAAAAAGACAATTACGATAATGCACATGGAGTAGTAGATCTACTTAATTAACTAGACAAAGGGCTCGAGATGTTTGTTCATTTCCCTTCTTTTTTCCTCATGTGGTATTAGATATTTGAATTTGTGCTGGTATATTTCGTTTCATTTTCTCAGTGCAAGGGAAAATGCAAAGAGAAAGGTTTGAGGAAGAAGAATAAAGAAAGAAAGTATTGAAATCATTCTTAAATTTGACGTAAATTATTAGTTTCATTCTTACATTATTGACATTTTTAAAAACATTTTTTTACTTGATTAACTAAACTTAAATACACTCTCGATCTTGCAACATGAGCGAAATTCACCCCAAAATTCTCGTCAAGTTTAAGAGTGTCTTCAACACTTCTCTTAGTTTTTTTTTAAGAGTCTCATGCTTCTACAAGAGTTTGAGACCGCCACTTGCTAAATATGACAGATTGGAGGTATATTTAAGTTTAACTAATCAAGTAAAGTGATGCTTTTAAGACTATCACTAGTTTAGACTAGTGATAGACGAAACTAATAATTTATGCCAAATTCTGAGATATTCTTGTTACGTCTCTTACAAAGAAATCAAAGAAACGGATGGGGAAAAAAACCGTAGCGTTCAAGAGTCAACAAGAAAAGAATTGTTGAATCGTAAACTCAATCTTCAACAAAAAAAAAAAATCTAAATATAGTAGAAAGAAATCTATCAGAAACCACTTTCGGTTAATATTAAATAAGATTTAAAAAAGCACCAATTTAGTCAATTTATATATATTAGCTAAGAGTTGACATTGAAATAGAATTAAAAACCAAACTGAAATAGAAGTATATAAAATATTATTATTATTTTGATGATGATATATAGTAGTAGAAGTTAAAACTCATTTAAATTATTATCAAATGTGAAGTGGAAAAATATTAAAAAGGAAAACTATTGGTAGTGATGCGTCATGGTCTGAAGTCAGGAAAAATGACGGTGATCCAATTTCCACCCCTCCCTAATTACGCAAATAGAGTCATTTTGTGCCGTTATTTATCTTTTTATTACGATTAAAAAAGTTGCGATGACGTAATAATATTTGTGTCTATAATTAGAAATTTAGAATTCAATAAAAATTTATGAAAGCACTCCTAAATTTGATGCAAATTAGAGTTTCATCTCTGAACTATTGACAACCTTAGGAACACTTCTCTACTTGGTTAACTAAACTAAGATGCATCCTCGATCTACCACATAACATAGCAAATGGTCTCAACCTCTTATAGAAGCATATGACTCTTAATGAAAATTCTATAGAAGTGTTTATTGCTTGGAAAATCATCAGAATTTAAGTAAATAATATGTCGTAATTTTTAAAATAAATTGTTCAAATATCTTGATGGACCACAAAAGTTTTTTCACAAATTTCACCAACACTTTTTTGCTTAAAACTTTATTCAAAACAATCTTCTAATGGTTCCAAATTTAATATTCAATATTCTAATATTAATTTCAATTATTTTTTATGGTTCAATTCAACTTACGTTTTCAAAAATCAAATTTGACAAAAAAAATCTTCTTCAACAATCAAGCACAACAAAATTTAATAATAACATTTATTTATTTTCAAATTTCTTCAGTCAAATTAATCCAAATAAGTAAAGCATTTGCCATTTTCTACCGCAATTTTTATTTTTTCTTTAAAAAATAGAAAATGAGAAAGGAGGAAAAGAAAAAAGAGAAATAGCAACATATTCTGACCAATATCTATATATGCACTAAGTTTATTAACTGATAATTCAATCTAATCCAAAAGTTTTCAATAGTTAATTAATTTCTTTAACTAGAAAAAAAAATCAAAATAAAATAACCTTGGAGGAAGACTTTGATATATTTAACCATGGACCCTTAGACCTCTGATGACCAGTCAGGAGACCAATCCACTAAATATAATTATATTGTTGGTGTTGATTCATTGAATCTCACCCATAATTACGTCTCTTTTACGTACATTTAGAATGATTTTGTTTTCTACAATATGTGTCAATTAATATTCGTGATTCATGAATGCTTTCCATCTTTTTCATCATTCTATAATATATGTCTACATCCACTTAATTACTTTTTAGACAGTAAATA